CAGGGTAGACTTCCGTCAAATGCCAGGTTTTGAGGGGTCTCCAGCTCACTTCTAGCTAACTACGTCGGTAGCAGCACATGTTGGTTGTCGTTCGGGGGGCCCGTGTGAACCGTTAACTTCCATTTCTCCCGTTTGAAGCAAAGCTTGTTGGGCCAGAAGTCTGATGGATCGCGGACCGGACGAACGAAGCTAGTATGATGTTCGCGTGTTCCGATCCGCGCCCGCTACCACAACCGCGACCCCACCACCTCAACCCCTCTCCCCCCCACCCCGCCGCCGGGGGTTTCGATTTCACTGCGGCGTGCCTCTCTCTCGGTTTTCGTTCGCTCGCCGATCGGCCACGCGCGCGCGGCGGCAATACAAACCGCCGAACGCCTCCTCCTCTTTTTGCCGCCGCAGGAGAGCCACCGCGTGAAGCTCCTCCTCGGGGCCATCGAGATCGGGCTGGAGCAGGAGACCCTCCTGGCGACCGCGAGGGTCCTAGCTTCTTTCTCGACGGAACATGATGATGATGCAGCCGCCGCCGTCTTGCCGCCGCCGTCTGGTTCCGCACGGGCAACAACGTCCCCTCCCGCTACCGCTGCTGCTGCTGCTTCAGAGCGAAGCTGCTTGGGGCAACGTCCTCCTGCCGCCGCGGCCTCTGCCGCATCGCCGCCGCCTGCCGACGGCGGGATTGGCGGCGATAATGTCGGGGGCGGCGGCGACGACGGCGGGGGTGAGGTTTCGATGCCGATGCTTCCGCCGGGGATGTCCGTGTCCATCGTGGTGGACCTGGCCGCCGTGAGCGTTGCGCTGACGGAGGCCGGGGTCAACGTCGCTGCTGTGGCGCTCAGCGCCGCGCACTGCAAGGTCAACGTGAGTGCAAACAGATATAGTGACGTCATAGCTCCGTCGGTTCTTGCATCGGTCTTGTGTTTTTGGAGGCTGGTTGACTAATAGTTACACTCTTTTCTCGGATCTCAGGGACTGCTATGTCGCCGCCGCCGCTGCTGCCTCTGGTGCCGCTGTTGAGCAATGGATGCGTCACGGTAGTGTCGCCGCTGCTGCTACTTCTGCTGCTGTTGGGCAACGCATGTGTCATGATGCACGCTACTGCTGTCACCCTGTCGATTGAGAAGGCAAGAAATAATTCGTTAATATCGTTGGTGAATCCTCCGCCCGCTCACCCCCCCACTTCTGCGTCTGGTGCCTGCACTCTCCTCTGTGTTTCCCGGACGAAACCTTTTTCAGGCTGAAAACGTACGGGTGAAGACAGTGGTAAGCCTTGGCGATCTGTACGTCCTGAACCTTCTGCAACCGCCACCGCTACGATCACCAGCCCTTTCCTTCGCGGGGGAAGGGGGACGGCGAGGAGGAGGAGGAGGAGGAGGAGGAGGAGGA